AAAACTATTAAATAAGAACATTAAAAAAAAAATAAAAAACACCCTAACCCCAGTTCTAGTTTTATTCCCTCCGCTTTTCCTTCCCTTTCCCCAACCACCCCCTTCGCACCACAGCCCCACTTCCCTGCTCCAGGATTTTGCTGTACAAACCAGAAACAGATGTCTGCTGGGGCTGTGCTGAAAGACCCCGCTGTTCTGGATGCCAGCCACATGCTTTTCATTCAGAGATGAAGGCTCACAGCTCGCCTTCTTGTGAAGCCAAATATAAAAAAAAATAAAAAAATAATAAAAAAAAAAAGGTGGAAAAAAACAAACTCTCCAAATGCCTTCAAGTCTCTTCAAAAGCAGTACATATTTGAGCACACCTTTTTGTCTCCTTTCCACCATGTATTGTTCCCTGCCTCAGCTAACAGCCCCGTTCCCATTTTTGGTGTTAGATGAATCAAAAGCAAAATAAATAAATAAATAAATAAATAAATTCAAATGTTGCTGACAAAAATATTTCATAAAAGAAGCCTTGAAGTACTTAAAGACCCACAATATCGTGTCCCATGCATGCACAACTACGAACTAAGAATGGTGATCACAGTTTTATACATGCAGCAGTGTGCTGAGAAACAGAAATACATCAGTTTTCAGATTGTACGAATATCCCAGCCTCAGATGCAAATCGCACTCAGATCGCACTTAGCCTGGCAACTAGAAGATAGACCCCAAAAAAAAAAGCCCAGTAGTAAAAGTGTCCAAGCTAAACAGCTATTTGAACAGGATCACTGAAAGGGGATTTTATACGCAGGGAAAGTTTTATTCACAGATTCCAAATGAATTCTAAAAAAACATTAGAGTACAATTAGTTTAGTGGGCTGCATGGGAACTACGCTCTTAAACTTAATTAAATATGAAAGGTTAAGTAACATGCAACTCTGTGTAAGTCAAAATAAATTAACGTCTTTGAACTTTTGGCACATCATTAAATCCCTTCCTGCATTTTTTTTTTTTTTTAACTTGGAGGGAGATATCATTTACCTTTCAAAGAGGAATAATGCAGGCCTTTGTTGTGGAACTTAAAATGTTGACACACTCCCACTTCACCAGCCAACTCTCTGGGAAACTTGGGAACAAAGGGTGGTGCAGAAAGGATGAATTAACTTGTCAATATTTGGCTCCTCCAGCGTGTTAGCTTTGGGTCGCTGTTTTTAAAGGGGAAACACTTTAAGGAACAGTCTGTATTTTTAGGGAAGTTCTGTAACGTCTCCTGGTGTCTTTGGTGAGTGTAAACCCAGACTAGGTTGCCCCCCACATTGAAACTAACCTAACAGGATTTCTGAGAGGGACCAATACAAGGCTTGCATCATCCTAAAAAAAAAAAAGTCCATTCAGAAAAACACAAAAGTCATATTTGCAAAAGATGTTTTTCTTTACTTTTGAGGCACATTAGTTTCTAAAATCAGCCTAAAATGGTTGCTCTGAAAAATAGCCTTGCATCAAATATTTTTACTTACTATAGATATGAAAATCACTATACATTTTCTTATTTATTTATATTTTTACACAAACTCCTTTCTTTTCAATTGGAAAAACAAAATATGTGATATCTTCCAAAGAGCCATTACAAAGTGGAAAATTTGGGATAAGGATATTACCAACTTGACCAAAGCGATAATTTATGGTGAAAGTATTATTATTACTATTATTATTAGTAGTATTATTATTGTTATACACAGGGCCTAATCGTTCCTGTCATATCTCAGAAAAGTGTCATAAAATCTAAAAAATTTTACCCTTAGATATTTCTAACTCTTGTAATCCATCAGTTTTCTTTTAACTACTTCAGAATAAAAACTCAGAAGATCAACTTCTTAACAGCCACTAATATAGCATTGCATCCCATGAATATGTACAATGTCAACCTTCCACTGCATTGAGGATTTCTTCATTTCTATTCTCTGCAATACGACCTATGTCTACAACAGTAAAGGGATCCATTACTTACTGTATAAAGACCTAACTTTTTAAAAATCCTCAATTATCCCTTTAAACCTTGACGCAGATTTTTTTTTCTTCACAAGTAAGAAGCGATTTTGCATATTCACCGACTTTTCACTGCATTTTTATGCCTTCATTTCATCTGTGGAGCTTTGACACTACACCAGGTGTGTGAGCAGGTTAAAGTCATGTCGAACACCTGCATAGAGGTGTCAAAAGCCAAATGGCTGCAGCCAGAGTGAGTCAAGTTATCCTGCTAAATCCCACAGGCTTTGTCTCCTTAAACCAAACTTTAAGAAGACAGTGGGATCACACGGAGAGGGCACCCTTCCAGCTACAATCTTGAATCATGGTTTGCAGAAATATCAATATTTAAACAGCTCTTTCAGTCCTTTGATCTTTTGTTATTTATTCTTACAGCCCAAGGAGAAGCAGTCACGATTTCCTAGATGAAAATGATTGCTTCATTTGGAAGATTTTAGGACATATTGGTCGTATGGATGTGTTTGTTTTTTTTTTTGTTTTTTTTTCTGCCTGTCACATTGGCACTCTGTCATCCAGCCCATCCCCCAAATAAGGGCGGGAGGGCTGCGGGGGTTTCGAGAAGTTAGCAGTGAGGGTTCGGAGCCTCCACTGTTATCAGAGCCCTTTTATAACTCCCAGTTCTCTCTTTGAAGTCAAAGCCAGACAACTCAGGAATCCTGCTCACCCCCCTATTTGACAGTGAGAACTAGGGGGATGGTCAGAGCTAAGCCATGTGTTTGGCCAGTCTTCTCCCACATTTATAATCATCAGTGATTTTAACTCTCGTTTTTTTTATGAGAGCCATGTGCTGTAACACACAGGAAAAGAAAATATGCCTGAAAAAAGAGGCAAAAAGTTTAAACCGCCTGAAGCATTCCAGCTATTTACTGTTTGACTTGGGGTTGTTTTATCACAGTTTGATCTCCAGACGTTCAAGATCCTTTAATCCAGTGATTATGTCCTGAAAATTCAACAAAGTAAGTTGATCCAAGTAAATAATTAATTTGGAGTGTTTGGAAACAGTTGAAAAAGTGCTATAATTAAGTTAAATCCTGTATATGCCAAAGAAGAAGAAAAGAAAAAAAAACACTATGATTTTGCACAAATGTAGTAGTAATAAATAGAGCTGCCACTGCTTGTTGAAATTTAATTCCTAAGCCCTCTCTTTAAAAGAAAAAAAGCACCTGCAGTTAACAAAAGTGTTTAGCACAGATAAGACTGTGTAAAGTTGTATTTTCAAGTTTAGACCTCAAGTTTATAAAAATACTGAGGTATAATAAAAATTCTTCAAAGAACAATTCAAATCTCTTGGTATTCAGGCTTTTTCACATTCTGTCAAACTTTGATGCACCTCATTTGGATCTGAAATGATTATGAGATGAAAGTGAAGTGATACACGACATATAGATGAAACGTTGACGTGTGATTTGCGTCTTTACTCGCAGCTTCTTAATCAGACGTCCACGAAAATTGCCATGAACAGAATATGTCCTTTTTTTTAAACAAGGTGGTGGCATCATCATGCTGTGGGTTTGCTTTTATTCAGAATGCCTATCAAAAACTACAAAGGACTTGAGACAGGGCCAAATATTGACCTTACAGCAGATCACAACCATAAAAAAACAAAAAAAAAAGAACAGCCAAAGTTCACCAGAATGGTCTACGTTAAAGCGTAAAAAATAACTTTCTTCCTCCTGATCTCATACATAAGTTGGTCCCAATAGTCATCTGAAATTGCAGCAATTGGTGGTTGTACAAAATATTGACTAAACTGTGTCAGAATACAAATCCATGGCCAACTTCTCGAACATTTTTGGCAGGGAATGTAGAAAATTATGGAGGTCCACTTCTCAATGATCAACTTCTCAGTTGTGTCGGCGTTTGATGTGACAGAATGTGGACATTGTGAAGGCGTGTGAATACTTTTTTGCGAATCACAGCAGATAAACAAACTTCAAACTTAGAATAGATGAAATAATTCTGTAAACACGGCACATAGTCAGAGATGTGTTTTCACTGCAACACCAAAGATGTAACTGCCGCAATCACAAAAAGACGCATGAAAAGAGTCGACAGAGATCCACTGTTTGGGGTGTGAATAAGCTCATAATTATAGGAATTAATGACGCAAAAAAGAAATCAGTCTCATGACTTTGACGGATGGGTGGGTGGGATCTGCAGACTAATAAGCGCCAAGCGTACGCCTTTCGTGGTTTTCCTTCAGGGGAGTGTAAAGTCAGACTCCTCTGAACCGGAGCAAAGTAGTCTTATAATTTGCACAGAGTGGGCGGTTTACAGCCCTGATATAATCCATAACTCTTCCACTATAACAACTACCCATCTCACACGATTCGTCAGCCCCTGGCTGTGGAGCTCGAGTCGTGGTACTCGAAGTGATGTAATGTCATAATGCCTCAGAGGGAAGCCACCAGAATGGGAGGCTCTACGGAGAAAGACACCACCCTGGGTCATGATGCCAGGAGCCACAAGGGTAAACACAAGAGTAAACTTATATCTGTCACTCTTAGAAATGACTACATTTCCATCCAGCTTGAGCTTCTACTGTATTTGTGCACTTGTGTGTGTGTGTGTGTGTGCATAAGGGTCTCAAATCATCCAGAGATTCTGGCAGGGAGGAAGTAACCACAGCAGTCTTGTGTCAGAGCCAGGTATGACAGAAAGAACAACAAGCTACAATTTTTAAAAAACACATCAGAGAGAGAGCAGTTCCCATCCACTGGGGTCAAGGAGTTCTAGGACTTGGGCTAGAGGAAGAAATTGAATGCAGCAGCTTCCTGTACTTATCCGTTACCTCTGCAAACGCAGATTCTCCAAACACACACACCGATTCTCCAAAAAAAAAAAAAAAAGTCTTTGCAAACTTGATGCACAGCAAAAGGAAATTGGAGGTTGAGTGATCCGTGTAAAATCGAGCAACTATTTGAGACATGCGGCGTTAAAACGGGAAGGAGGAAACAGAAAGTGTGTACCTGCATGCTCTTCAGTTTGTGATCTGTTGAGCTGTACCTCTCGCATTCCTCCATCCCTCTCCGGAGGAAGGCATTCACGACAAAACTGTCTCCTGAAACACGGACAAACAGACAACGATCATTCTGAGACTCGTCATCTGATCAGCTCCAACCAGCCTGCAGGATGATGCAGCATGATGAAAGTCGATCCTCACCTTCGGGGTTTTCTCTGCGCTTGGACGCTTTGGATCGAAACAAAAAAAAAAAACAAACAAAAAAAAACAATTATTAGTTTTATTTAGGAGGTAACGTCAAAAAAAAAACGAGTTTGTTTCCGCGTTGAAACGTGCCTTACCGTGCTTTGACAAAAGTTTGCCCATCGTTGATATCCTTTTCTCCCGGGATCAATGAAGGTCCGAAATCCGTCCAGGGATAAAACAGCCTGCTGACTCTACATGGTCACATTGTGTGTCTGCTCAGCGAGAGGAAAACTTCATCCGCCGAGTGAAGCGCCGCTTTACGAAAGCATCCGATGTCAAAGCGGACGGTCAGAGAAACAAAAGGAGAAAAAAGAAATCAGTCAACTGATCGACCGGGGAAATGCGACGCGCTCTGTGTCTGCTGTCTTCAGACTTTCATGCAGCCCAACTGATGTGAAAACCTCCACAGCGCCGCAGAAACCAGCGACCGTCAAGTTTGGAAAGCAAAGCACACTTCCGGTTCAGGTTGGTAAAAAAAATAAAAAATAAGACGCGGCATCAAGCGGGGAAGTTCACAGAAAACTGATGTGATTTGTGGCTTGACATTCCAAGAGTTTCCACAAACTATGCAACGATTGCGTTTTTGCAGATTTAGATCAAAATTGATACTTTTTTTTGTTACTCGTTTTTTATTTAGAATTTACCAAACAACATACATTTTACTTTTTTCCCAATTTTAGCTGTGTCTAATCTTTATAGGCCTAAAAACCAAACAAGCAAAAAAAAAAACTTAATAAATAAATATAAAAATAGATAAGCTGGAGGGGGAAAAGTACACTTCAAAATAAACAAACCCATCAATAATACAAACAAACCATTAAGTAATAAATTAATTAATTAAAAAGTCACCAGTATACATAGTAATTTATACAATTTAGTCCAGGAGATGGTATGTGGCCTTAATACATGTAAATGAGGAACTGAACATCAATGATGAGTCAAAGGCACCCAGAACCATTATTAGATGACAGATATGTTTTTATTTATTAATTTTTTTTAGTGTTGTTTTTGTCTTAGTGCAAACGTAATTTGCTCTGACAGCATGTCAGTCTGAGAACGCCCTACGTTTTGGATCCAAGTGGCCATTTACTTGTTTGTCTAAAGTGTTGATTAGATTACGTTGACGGAAACAGCACCAAAAAATAAAGAAAATAAGGACCTACAAAAATGGATGCAATCTTTGTACAATAGATGCGACTCAGCTGCTTCTATTCTTAAGGGTCATCAGCAATGGGTTGCTGAGGGCTGCTGTCTGAAACCTCTGCTCGCAGGTGCTTTTAATTTGAAAGGGCAAGCTTTTGTCTTCCGGTTGTTTCAATTAACTTGCCTTTGATAACTAGTTTGGCAGCTCTTCTGAAACTGATAGAAAAACCGCGTCCGCTGTTGGTGCGCCTATGTGATCCATTCATGACTGATTCATAAAATAAATAAATAAAAAGTTTGGTACCTACTTGGATCACTTGGCATCAACCTGATTGTGACTTATTTATTTGGATGTAGGCCTATTTTTAATAACAAACACAATAACATAAACCACAGTAAAATCTTCACATGGCATTTCGAACCAAGTCAGTTATATCTGAACCCGAATAATGCAAGACGGATTCAGACGTCGGTGACCGACTGTAACTTATGAATGGAGTAATGATTAATACAAGGATGACATCATGGCCCCTGTGCAGTGCGTGCTGCGCGCCGATAAGCCGCTTGTGGAAAAATCCCGGGACTCATCTTTGATGAATGCTCCGAAGATGCTGCAGATAAAAGGAAGCGTGGAGGACGAGTTGCACTTCAGCCCTCCAAACATCAAAAGCTTGTCTGCAGTTTTATGGTTTGTTTTCTTTGGCAGGGAATTAAGACAGGGACTCTGTGCGTTTCAATTTACCACGCAAAGTTGTACTTCCGCATAAACGGTGCACGCATTTAGCGTATTAAAAGTAGCCTACCCTTCAACTGAACTTGAAATTGTAGGATAAGAAATATAAGCTTCACCTTCCACGCACTGTGCACTGTAAAAACACGTGCTCTATTTACAATTTGCCGCATGGACACCGCAGACACAGACAGTCTGGCGAGATGAGAGCGGAATTAAAACTTGCGTTTTGTGGCCATTTCCAAAGTTCTGCGTTGAGGGACCATCGTTTCCAAGGTGAAGCACAGCGGTGGCCGCGTCATGCTGTGGGGACGGGGAGGAAAATGCTTTACCTCAGCGGGGGCAGTAAAACTGGCCGGAGTTTGTGTTGAGAGTGGATTTGTATAGCGCGACTAAAGAAGAAAACCCCGACTGCCGAGTTCACCTGCAGAGCAACGATCCCAAGGACAGATATATTGGCCTCGTTAAAATTCACAGTCGAGAAACTGTCGCAATTAAAAGCCGTTTTCCTCACAGACCCTCTTACCAATCTATTTTTGCATGCGTGCTGTCAAAGATCTCAGTCTCCAGACGTCCCCAAAGACTTGCAGCTGCAAAAACCACTTTGTGTTCATCAATTCTATTAAATCCAAAATAATGTTTGAAGATGTATCAATGTTCAAGAGCAATGAGTGACAAGGCACCGTAGATCTTTAATTGACAGGAGTAGTAATGTAATGTAAGTAACCTAATGAACCTGGGCGGTGTTGTTAATCACCACTCCCTGTCACTTCACACGACCCTCGGATCGCTCTGCGGTTGACAGGATGAGCAGATATTTGCACAGCTCGTTCATAGCAGGTCGCCTTTGATCCGACATGCAGCGCCTAATTACCACCGTTTCTTTATGCATCCCGACCCCCGAGAACCCAGCTCTTCACAGGTTACCTTCCTCTCATCCCTCCCCTGCAACATCTCGCTTAAATGGCGAGACAAACACAAATGGCGACAGAAGAATCAGCAGAGATGAGAGACGAGAGCACCAGACAGAGATGTGTTTGATTGGAAACAGAAGCAGAGAGAGAGAAAGAGGGAGATATATGGTTTTTTTTTTTTTCATTTTATTTTAGAGGCAATGCTCGTTTGGATACACACGCTGGTGTGTGTGTGTGTGTGTGTGTGTGTGTGTGTGTGTGTGTGTGTGTGTGTGTGTGTGTGTGTGTGTGTGTGTGTGTGTGATCAAAGCCTGTAACGCAAGATGAAGAATTGGAAAAACCCAGACAATTTAAGTTTTATAAGCTCCCATTATGTTTTTGGGCAGAGGATGTGGATCATTACAGAGGCAAAAAAAAAAAAAAAAAGTTTAGGGTATTTTTCTGAACTTGATTTTAATCGGCGCAGTGTTCAGCTTTGAAAGCAATAATGCAGCGTTAGACCTCAGAGAAATGAGTGATACTTTCCATCGTTTGTGTGCGACTCTGCTCGGTTTTCTTCTTCTTCTTCTTTCCTCCCAACATACCTAGGACTAGGCCTATGTGTTTACGTTAATCCTCCCCCACCTATTTAAATTCCCACTGGCACATGCATGGATATTCCATTCCTCTCAGCAATGTACCTGAACAAGATTTGAAGGGGATAAACACGGGGCTGTTTGTCTTATTTGGAGTTTTCTGACATTTTAAACTGCGATAAAAATCCTGCAACAATGAGGCTTTTGACTTTTGTTACTTCTCGAGCTTGACTGCCTTTAAACAGCTGCCTCTATTCTGGAGCGACTACAGTCAAAAAGAAAAAAAAAAAAAAAAAAAAAAGGCCTCCAGACAGAGCAATTATGGTTTTATTTACCATGGCCCTTCCAACAGCTCTGCTTTACTCTGTGTGCCCTCACTCTCCACTTTGTGTTGATCAAACTTCCCCCCGTTTCATTTAAATGACATTAAGGAAAAAAAATCTCTTTGAAAAACAAAATTGGAAGGCCCCAAACAATTACATGTATCAAGTTAAATATGTCTAATAAAATAAGTTCTCTGAATGCGGGGAAATCCATTCCTGAATAGTGTTGATTAGAATAGAAATCTTTGCCTTTGATGATGGGGCTTTTGACAGTACAATTTAATGCAGCAATAAAACACTTTACAACCACAGTAAAATAAAAAAAATAAAAAAACCACCTGAGAAAAGTCATTCAGCAAGATAAGACTGAGACTACAGGGTGTGACTGAAGACACATTCAGTGTTTGCTTTCCTTTTTCATTATGGACAACCAACAGGATCCGGCTTTGAAGTGGAATAAATGAGAGTTGCCAGCAACAACAAACAAAAGCCACTCTGTCACCAAACCTGCGAGTGACATGCGAGGCAGCAGAGCATTTCCCGAATGCAAATCCAGTTCGTCTGAACAACGCGCCCTCTGATGTCCTCGCGTAAACTGTCATAGAAAACATTTTTCAAACACTTTCCAGTTGGAGTGTTATGAACTCATGCGACGGCATCCAAAATATGACCCACTCATAAATAGTACCAAAGCTGAAGCTGCATGACTAATTTCTATTTCCAGGAAAATATTCCTCCCATTTGTAAACAACCGGAGTAAATCACAGATTACAAGACAGGGGTACACGTCCAGCTGCAATCTGCTTTTATTAGATTTTCTGCATTTATAATGCAACTCATCTATATATGCATTTTAAAAAAATGCTTCTGATGTGTAAAAATCCACAGCAGCTTATGTGCACCACTAAGTGGTCTCTTCCACATAGAAGCAACATGGTTAATTGAACTATTACATGCAGAAATGTCAAGAATATGAGTATAGAAAAAACACGGCACTTTGGAAAAATGTTTACAACATAATGCATGAACAGCATTCATACACACAAACAAGAATATAAAAATACATGTAGCCTTGCCAAACATTTGTAGGGATGTTATGCACCAGCGTGAGGGCAGCCAGTTTAAAATGCCAGCTTATCAGACAAATGAGCAATTAGAACAAAAAAAAAACAGAACCCTCCATAACAAAACTACATTATGAATGCTACATTTTGATGTCCAACAAGTATGATACTGCTAACTGAGAATGTTCCACCTCAGCATGAACCGGTTGCAGAGGTTTTAAAGACATACAGTCTCAAAACTTACAAAAACATTTTCTCATTACGTCCTTAATGGAGAGATAGAAAACATGTCTGGAGTTTTCTCCAGCTGCCTATTCCTGGTTCCTACTGATTGGATAAACTGTATGCGATGGTCACGGAAGAACAGTTCACCTTTATGCAAAAACAGCACAACACAAAAAACTGTTACGGTTAAAGCTGTGAGACAGTGAGAGCAAACACAAGGCAACGTCTCATATAACCAGCGTCCTTTCCTGATACAGTTTGCTTTAAGATATTAGCACCAGCAGTTACCTGAATAAAGAGCTTTAAGTGATGAACAGGATTTGTTAAAGCAATACTTTAGATAACAGATTAATTGAAGTGCTGCCAACTGAACTGTGAAGGCTAAAAAAAAAAAAAAAAAAAGACATCAGGAATGAAAG